TAGTTCTTTTTACCCGTCCAATTCATCGCGGGGACGAACTGAATGCATTCCAGCCCTGATCAATTCAGAAACTTCAACATTACCCGCAATTGCAGAGTTTGAAACGGACAGGACACCATTCAAAAGCCCAAGTAAACTTCCTTGGAGGATGTCGTTCCACAATATCCACGCCGACTGGTTCGCGAAACGCTGCGCCAGCTGATCATGAATTTGTTTTGTTTTGTGGCTCCTCAACCACTTATTTATCCCACTTGTTACCTTCGGCTACGATCGGCAAGATTACAATTTTGTTTGCAGCGGAAACAAGGAAGCGATCTGTTTTTTCCTTTGTTATGGAGCAAAGAGAAACCAAACAAAACTATAGGCTAGGCAAAGCTGACATTTGACATTCTCGACCGCGCTGTAGAAAACATGAGCAATAGACGTAAATTGAATAATATTTTAAACATGAGCAAATGTGCGATAGTGAAGCATTGATCACCTTTCCTAGACCCAGCAAAATCAAAGTAAATGTGAGTAATTACAGTAATTTGTCCCACATAGTAAATTTGCTCATTTTCGAGCCCTCGATCGATTTTGCAGCCAAGAGCAAATGTTAGTAATAGCAATTCTTTGGACGCATATACTGCCCTAACAAAACTGTGCAATTGAAGGGCTTTAATGGCCTTTTACCTACCGAAGCAAAATACTGGCAATTGCACAGCTTTGACCTGTTTTGCCATGTGCAGCAAACGAGTTCAACACCAAGTCTTTGCCGCATCTTTGCCACATCTTTGCCACAAGGACAAAAGTGCTCATACCAACAAATTTCACCTGAACTTTGCATCAACAGCAAATATTTGTCAATTTTATGGTTGCACTTCACTTTTGCAAAGTAGTCTAAATCAAATACAAATGTGGCATTTACGAGCATTCCCAAGGTGGGCAAATCTTGCACGTAAATACTGTATTCTCAAACACAAATGTGTGCAAATCTTAGCAAGTATGGGATTTACTACAGTTATACGTCACCTATGTAAATCCATTTTTTCGTGCAGTGATTCATACCTCATCCAGCAAACAGGTAATGGGAATGCTTGACAAATGGTTAAAACCACGGCGTGCACTAATGAGCTAAGCGTGTTTCGCTTCTAACTTGTACTTACTTATTTTCTGCCCATCATGCCTGTGTCGCACATAGGGCAGCAACGAAATCCTTCCAGCCCTGCCTATCTTTAGCCAGTTTTTCAATGGTGCTCCAGCTGTAATTGAGCTCCCTCAGTCCCTTCTCTAAAGTCCTACGCCAAGTTGTTTTCGGTCGCCCTCTGTTTCGTTTGCCTTCAGGTGTCCAGCGCATTGCATTTCTGGCTATGTTGTTACTGGGCTTCTGCATCACATGTCCAATCCACCTCCATCTTCTCCTGGTGACAAGTGTACGAATATCCGTAACCTCTTAAAATTTAAGAGCACGAACCACGCTTCTGCCATATTGTTAATGCAGAATCTCAGCAAAGATGACGAAAGTTTAGAAATGGTTCTCCGCGCAACAACGCGACCAAAAAAGAATTTCAAGGAAGCCAATTTTGCAAATTTAAATTACGCTATTGCTAAGTAATTTACAACTTCTGGGCAGAAATACGAGCGACTGCAAAGAATTGAAGGATTTTATGAAACGAAGCCTCAACCTAGAACCTCTCTTGAATTTTTAAACGGCCTGGCATTCTTTGAGAATAAGTTTACAAAGTTCTATTTGCTTACTAGCTTAACGTCGATAAACACTTACCTGCTTCCGTCCGTTTCCAGTAATGATACATATCGCACCACTTCAGGTTTGACTAAACGAGAAAAGAATAAATGTTCCACGATAGGAAACACAGTGTATGGGCTAAATTTGTGACAATTTCAAAAGTGCACCGTTTTAAACTCGTGCAAGTGGGTTACTTAGCTCTCCCCTGATTGACTCGTCTAACTGCTCGGGTATTTAGCGCTTGAAATTTATTCTGATTAGCACCATTCCTCAGAACCACATTTAGGCAATAGAACCAGTGCTTCACCGAGATTTCAAACCATAAGCACTTGACGAAATTGGCGTGTCTTCGTTGGTTAGGCAGGGGACGTTAAAGAACCCACTTACGAGATTACTGTGATGTGGTCTGGCCTGTTTACTGGGAATTGGGGGGGGAGGGGGGTCTAACCTTGTCAGACGCGGAATCCACTGTAATTGGCTAAGGTTGTAGTGGTCTTCTTGCCTAAGATAATTAGGCGAAGCTAAATAAATAAACTTCATGGGATGATCACCTTAAGAATAATTAATGAGTTTAAGAAAATATCATGATAGCGTGATCTTTAGATAGTAGTTCTCATAACTGGGAAAATAAAAATATCATTAACTCTTATCAAACATGATATATGATATTATCACAAAAAATGTGAGAAATGTATGAGAAAAATATTGGTATATCAAAAATGATAGAAATGGTTGATATTATTTTCAGCAATATCCTGCCTCAATCCAATTAAGGGTGCTTGTGCGTAAGGGTTAGGGTCAGAACTTATTCAGATCTTAAGGTTAAAATATGCAACCTTAGTTTTCAATACAAATCATTGTACAAAAATAATTACAGACGCTTATTGTACAAGATTGGGCTACCTGTGGCCAGAAGCAGCCGTTTTCTCTAAGCGAGGAAGTGTTTCGTGGCACCCTAAAGAACAGCTTTGAATGAGACTAGACGCCATAGCATGGGAACAATACATGTATTCAATTCATTACCAATACTTTCTTAATACCACAGAGCACTAAGTTTTAAACGTGACCTGCATGGAATTGAATAAATTTACAGCACTTTATTCCTATCAATAATGCATCTCTTTAAAAATGAAATATGTTGATTGAGATGATGGGAGAAACTAGTTTTAGAGAAACTCGCGCTATGGAGAGGCATAAAGACACTTGTTTTCATTTTGAGGTTTCCTTCTTTATTAGTACTTTCCTTACGGGCTCGTCAAAATACGGCACAACTCTTAAAGAAAAATTCAATGATACTTCATAACAAAACTCCCATTAAGATATAAATAGTAAATTTACAAACACAAATAAGAGTTATCATCCATCAGATGTTTTTGCTTTCACGATCAATCATAACGAGACCCTTGACTGTAAACGTATTTATTAACAAATGCAGTAAAACTAAATATAACATATTTAAATTCAACACTGCTAAGGCTCTGGCTCCATTTAACATAAAACTGAAAAAAAAGAGGAAATGAAGGGAAGCCTTACGCTTTATCATCAAAACCTTACCAAAACATCGGAGTCATCTAGATATAAAATTCATTTTCCACGAACTCTTACAAGTAGCAGAAAATGCAATTTTATCAATAAAAAACACATTCCTGCACTTGACTGATTGTATCAATTTATTGGTTGTAAGCTTTAATATTTCAATTTTTGGTGTATTGCAGATGTTTTTTGTAAAGTATTTTTGCTGCCTGGCATTTTTAACAGCCTTTAAATTTTTCAGCTGGTTAGTTTCCCTCTTCTTTTCCTTTAAATTTTAAGTACCTCTTGTATGGTTAACTTTAAAGGAGGTTTTTCACGTTCTTGTTGGAAACGAGCGAGTACGGCGATGTTGTATATTTGATCGAAGGGTTAAAAGAAACAATTTTTTGTTTATTTTACGTAAATAAATGCTGTTTGCTGATAATCCCCATATCTTGAATACATACTAAAGTGCAAGCTACTTGTCGTGGACACGTGACCGTGACAACCGTGTGGAGAGTTGCAGCTGGATACACCGATCCCAATAGAATAATCATCAGGGTTACAGCCATTAGGTGATCGAGGAAGACTGGTGTCGCCAATACAGCCTATGCGACAGATGTGAGTTCCAGGCTCCTTATTAGGATCCGCCACCAGGTTACAAAGATTTCCTAAATTGAGGCCGCACCATTCCTTGGAAAACACAATTAAGGAAGCATGAATGTAAGGAAAATTGAGAACTGTCAATCGATTTATTTGCTTGTTATCCATTTGATAATTTAATCACTTTACAACAGCTGTGAGTTCTGTTTATTTAGCTTCAAATTGAGGTAAACTCTGAGGAAAATAAAAGCTTAACTGACTCGTTAAAGCAAGCATAGTTTGCCAGTCATGACCAATACAATTTTGATTCGATTTACTTACAGTTTTTAGGTGCCCTAAGTCCAAGTGTTTGCCAAGGTTTTTCATCAACGTTTCAAAAGTGTACTCCTCCTGTACTTCTACCGCGAACTGAGTTGCGAAGAGCTGGGTAAGAGTCAGTCCTCTGTTATGAGTGAATGTCGCACAGTCACTGCGGGGACCACTATAGCACATGCGTATAACTTGATTCGATACAGAAAACCAACCGGGATTTTTCATAGATGTTGTTTTTGTAATGTCTGCTGCATCCCAGGGGCTCACTACATCCTCATTGGCCCAGAGAGGACTTGTGGGGGAGAAATCTCCAGACATTCCGGCCACTCGTGCAACTAAGGTCCAGCCTCCACTGTCTTTACATGTTGATGTGATAATTTCGCAATGTGTCTATAGCATTGCATATAAAGTATTACTCTTAATAGCTATACAGCTGCACAAAAGATTAAATAAAAATTAAAAAATTGTTTATTTCAATAAATCTCATTTCAAAAAGATTCTAAAAACATGTTCATGATGTTAAAAAAATGAGATTGCCTATCATTGTTCAACTATTATGAAAGACAGGCAGGCGTCATGTGACTTCATCTCTTCATCATGAATGCTAAGACTTCAGGATTTGTGATTAATGGCAAAACTGAGCACACTAACCTGGTATGGGCTGCCACGAGCAGCCTGGAGCCAGTATACCCCACTTTGAACGCTTGTTGATAGTGAATGATAGATTTCATTACAGGATTTTGCCGGATTGTGAGCGGATCCAAGTCCTTCTGGAGGGCTGATTTAAAGGGAAAAATACCATTACTATTAAATATATTGAAAACTGCTAATACGATTTTTTCTGACATCTAATACACCTAAGCTATCAAACTCTTTCCTCAAAAGGAAATATTTTTCCTTCCACAATATGGCTTTTAATTTTCCTTAGTGCTATTTATTTCGATTAACTGTCACCCTGGTTTGAGTGATTACAAGGGCATGCATATGTGCACTAGTTCAAACCCTTGTGTTAATTACAAATGTTTTGTTTAGTTCCTCGTTCGTTCATCTTGGAAAGTTTTCTTCGAGATTCTTAAACTTTTAAAATTAATCCCTTGGCGTTCTCCATAAATTCACATAAGAGATATGTAAGTTAAAGAGTAAGTACGGTCTAGAAAAAGTTTACTTAGATCAAAAGTTCCTTGCTTGAATTGTCCTAACTGGCTATTCATTTGAGCTAAAAGCGTTTTAGTTGCGAACGATTACGTTCCAAAAATCGGCACTTTCAAATTGAAATCCGCCATCTTTGTTATGAAGTCGATGTAAACATAGTTGATGTAAACAAGGAAAGCGGAGTGCGGAGATGGGGGCGCCACCTATTGAATTCTCTGCTTGGATTTTAATCTAGCGAGAGGATATAGTACATCCATTTATGTTTCAAACGAAACATGGCTCGTTTTCAGGGGAAGGAGATACTTCTGTTGGGGAGAAAGACAGAGAGAAAGTCAAGAAAATGAATTTCATGAAGAAAGGTCGACCCGCTCAGTCGCTCACGTCTTGGAAATCGCGAGTGGTTCTCTTGCGGCAACTGTCAAGAGAAACCTACGGAAAACGAGAATGTATCCTCCTAAGAATTAAATGTACTAAGACACTGACTCAATTCGAAAGGCAAAGGTTTTTTCCTCGAACAAATCCTAGCTGTGGAGTGATAGTTACTTTGCTAAAGAAGACCGCAGTGCCCGCTACGGATTCATTTTACACTGCTAACTCGGAATGAGACGAACTATTTTTGCAGTTACAGGAACCCGGCTTCGGTGTATAACGGAACACGAGCCATTTGGAACTGAGATCCACCCCAGTTGGCATGCATGCCACAAATTAGAAATGATATACTTGAAGATCATTCTTCGTATGCGTAAACACTGACAAAATTGATGACAAACACTTAGTTGCCAAAATTACCGCTGACAAAAGGCAGAAGTTAATTGTTACGAATTAAAGTTAGTTTGTTTCAGCATTTACCTTTAATTTTCAAGTTGTTTTTCATCGTTATTGCTTAGAATTAGCTTCAACGCAGTATTTTTCGTTCTAAAATGTTTGAAATGTCGCGACTTGTGAGAAGTAGAGCTTTGTTATTTTCCACGGGCGCCGGAAAATCGCCTCTGTCGTACAGTGTTTACATAAGAAATTACCTCAATATAATTGAAGTTAGACTTTCGATTTCTTTTGAAAGCATAAGCACTGCGTAATTACGTCAAGTAGTTGGTTCGAAGACATAAATATTTTCATATTATTTTTATTGTGTCCAATCGATATATATGATACAGTGAAAGATGGGCGCCTGTCTGACGAAGCCGGATAATTTGTATTAGTCGAAATCGTGTTTGTCTTGATCTTGATAATTTGCTAGCGATGTATTAAATGCCATGTAGTTTTTTTCTCCGCGGAGAATGTGACTGTTGGGGTAAAGAAAATTTACTCTATGGACTCATATCAGACTTAGGAAAGACAAGATATATTTGTACACCGCTTGGTAAAGCGCATGATGTTGTAAATCGGCTTTGGTCGAGGGTGGCGACAAAAAATTTACCTTACACGGTTTACCACCATTACGAGCTTCAATTTATTCGCTTACAATAAAATGGTTGGAAAAAACTCGTATAATAAATAACTGAGAGCTGTGTTGAATATGGAAAAGGTAAGTATAGCTTTCAGTTCGAAGCAAAGGTCAACAAGGAAAACTTACATGCCTGTATATCTCGCTGGAAGTCTTCGTTGGAAGTTCCGAGGTTTTAAAGGGTTCGGCAAGCCGTCGTCGCGGGTCATTTTTTCCGGCTAACTTTTCTTTAATATTTCACTTTCCGGTAGCTTGTATAAGCTTACACCTTTTCCTTTTGAATTTAAGTATGTATTTTGACATTCAACAACAGGACAGTTTACCTCATTTCCACTATTGGGAGTATTAGAAATTGTTTTCACAAAAGGTCAAACTAGTCAACAAGGACAAAGTGCCGAACTAAATGGCGTTTTTCTAACCACGAAAGTTGTAAAAATGGGCAACTTCGAAGCGCTCTTGTCGCAAATACAAAGCAAACTAAACAAAATGGCAGTTATTTTCAAGCTCCTGAGGAAAAAGTCTTCTAATTGAGATAAACTTTTTCTAGACCGTACTTTCTCTTTAAAGGCTGGTTTTCATTAGCGTCGGAGTCGTAGTCGGAGTCGTAAGAGCGCCTATGACCNAGTGAAAATCGAAAAACGGAGTCGTAAGCGGAGTCATAAGCTCGACGGAATCGGAGTCGGAAGAATCAGAACGTTCCCATTTTCTTCCGATTCTGCTTATGACTCCGTCGCTTACGATCTAGTGAAAACTGCATTGTCAGAGTCGGAAGCAGAAGCGGAAGAATAAACCAATGACAATGTTTTATTCCAGGCCGGCTAAAGTACAAATTTTGGCGCCAAAGACAACATGGCAGACGAAAAGCAACTTTGGCTCCTATTAATCATTATTTTGCGCAGGCAGAGAAAATACAGGAATAATATCGTTCGAAAAAGAAAGAAATTTTGGGTTCGTGATATCTATCGACGTCGGGCAGCTTAGGAAGAGTATGCTAACCTCGTTAGCGAACTACGACTTGGTGATCGTGAATTGTACTTTCGGTAGGTTTCGAGTATTTTAACTTTTAATTTCGTAATTTTACAGTCAAGCTCACACGGCTATTTGTGCATTTTGGAAAGATGGAATCGAGCATTGTGATTGGTTTATTCTTCCGCTTCCGACTCTGACAGTGCAGTTTTCACTAGATCGTAAGCGATGGAGTCATAGGCAGAATCGGTGTTCTGCTTCCGACTCCGTCGGTTTGATTTTCACTAGATCGTATCGCTCCATGCTTCTGATTACGACTCCGTCGCAAGTGAAAACCAGCCTAAGTATAATTACCTTTCATGATTTTCCGCCGCACCTGAAAATCTCGGCTCTAGTTATCAATGAATTTTTCAAGTTCAATATTCTCATTCCATGCCAATTTCTTTCATTCACAGTCATTGTCATTTCTTCCTTCCTTTTTTTTAACCTTATATACCACTCTGACTAAATTCATGTGCGTCCTTTTTCTTACTTGATTTTTAAAACAATGTGAGCATATGGAGAAGAATCTGAATTTTATCCATGCAGTCATTGTTCAAGGGCTAAGTTGCGGGACAGTTGTAGCATCATATTAATTGAAGTTAACTTTTTAAGATAAGTAACAATCAGATAATTAATGCACGCAACATTTACAACAAGCTTTTATTAATGTTTCATTTGGTATAAGTACACATTTAATAGTGAGATCACTTAAAATGTGTCTTTAGATGGAAAACGGAAGGGTACAAACTAAATGTTTATCTTATAAAACATTTTTTCTCTGCTGTGAAGAATGTTCAGATGATATCTAATATTTTAATAACGAAATACCAAGCCGTTTTTAATAACGAAATACCAAGCCGTTTTTGTGCTTGATTCAAATTTCCCGTATTCGCAGTTATTTCAACAAACTATAACTCTTACCTCGGAGCAAAACTTTGTGATGGATATTTGAAAATAAAAAAGAATTAAACTTGCTTAACTGCGTCGACATCCGATACATTGTCAATGAAAAAAAGATCCGTGCCTTTCTGATGTTTTTTTAAGCGACCATCGCTCATGTTTCGCGAGCCTAATACGATAACTTAAGAAAAACTAAAATATTCCAAAAGCCTGAATTTTGTTTGGCCGACGGGGTTAATTTTCTTTGGCATACGTTTTTTAAAGAAAGTTCTTCATTTACAGTTTGGCGTAATATTTCTACATATGGATTAATTATCCTCCAGGTGCTCTTCAGCATATTGCTAAAGCCGGACAAACAGCAAACAACGACAAACTATTTCAGTAGATATAACTAGACACAAGCAAATTTCTAAATCATAATTCATGTTATAATAAATAATGATTTATTCTCTGTCTCCACTTCCACTCTGATCTGTTTGATCTCCAAGATCACGTGCCTGTCCTGTAATGTGAACATGTGGGACCTCTCTGCAATAATTGCACAATTATGATAAGGACTAAAGTCAGTAGTTTAAGCGATAAAATAAAGATTTTCTTTTGATTCAAAGGTTTGCTGTTTGTCCGGTTCGGCCAAAGAAGGATGTAAGTGGATTTTATTACTCGACGCTTCACTTTTTTTATTTCTTTTCCACTACCATTGTGTGTTAGATGAACCCGAAGTAACGCACTTAAATTCCCTCTTGGCGCATCTACGTCCAAGTGTGCCTCAGGTATAAAAACACCTTAGAGGTATCCTACCTCACACACACGAAAGGATTATCAGTTTTATTTTCTTGCTTTGAAAATCTCTTTTTTGCTAATTAAGTCAGTACCATTAAAAACTAGGCCTATTGAGAAATTTGCATAATCTAAACGAGCTTTTCAGTCCGCAAGGATAACCGCAGTATATTATAAAAAAAAAAGAATTTTTAAAACATGGTGGCAACAAATGATAATTTACCTACCCTCCTACTGGTGGGCCCTGAGGTACCGGCGGTGGAGATCCCGGGCAAGGACTTTCCACAGGGGGTGATGGCACCGAGGCACAGTTACAGGGAGGGCAGTCTCGTCCATCTCGCCCGTCTCTTCCTGGAAGACCCGGGGGTCCAGGGGGGCCTGGTGGTCCGGCACGGGCCGATGGACAAAATAAAATCTGAAATCACATTTTGTAACTTTCAATATTTCGCAGGATTTTAACACTGGCACAAACTATTCATATATAATTATTTGTTTGATTTGGTCTGTTACACAAGATCGTATTTCTATAAAGAAAACAGCCGGGTCCATTTTGTTAAAAAAAAAATCTCGATCAACACTCTTTTTCTCTATTCAGATCACTTTGTATTTTCATCGATCAATTCTTAGTAGAATAAGCTCTCCTTTTGGCGCAAGGAGAAAAAAGTGATAGGCATATCTTCAAAAAGCTACTTTCAACGTGCTGTTTAATTGTTTTGCTTTCTTTTATCTTCGCATGACAATCTTGCACGAACTTTCAATGATTACCACAGTAGTTTTGATGAAAGCGTCGTCTCAGTTTCCTTCATCTGACTCTCTTCGAACCGTCTAAATAGAGACACCGTAAAATTACAAAATATGGTAATTGTTTGGTCCCAGACGGCTTGGGTATTCACAGGTGTCCCGAGGGTCACGGGTTCAATTTTAAAGCCTGTAATGTTACATTTTTGTTGTAAATACTTTTCGGTTAAAAAGTCAAGTCGCATTGTTAGCAACTGAAAATAGAATTTTGTTGAACATGAGTACTCATATGTAACAGATAAAGGGCTATGTAGCGTTACAATAGAAGGATCTTATGGGAACAAAGGATTCCATTTAGTCCGTAGACTTGGTAGTTTAAGCTACGCACTTGGCTTATACTGGCTGCAGTCTAGGGAAATGAACAGATTTTTTTCTACATATGCGTGTATTTTAAGTCCATTACTTCCGGCGTTACTGCAATTTTTCTCATCGATTTCTACTCATGATCAATAGATCTTTATTCAGCCTCTATTTCAGCAGAGGGCGACCATTAGCACCTGGCAGTATTTAGAGTAGTAAAATAACAACTTTCCTAATTCCCAGCCACGAATTTTCATGAAGCCATAGAGTTAAAAAAAAAACACCTCCTTTAATTCTTAATCAGGAGCTAGTCTGTTTAAACACATGTACACAGTTAAACTGATATCGCCGAAATGAAATTACATATTCTAAGTTTGTTGACTGAATTGAACCTGTTCGACAGGAACATCAGCCTAACAGTATTGCCATATCTTTTGAGTGATTTCACAGGACAAGCAAAAGAGGAGAATCTTGCCAAAGTTTTACATATGTTTCAGAGTCTAATCTGAAAATTGAATCAAATACTGGAGATTCACGAGAAACAGAGGAAAAAACCACAGCTATTCACCTTTCCTGGGTTGACTGTGTACGATCTTCTGGTGTGTTGTTCTTCCTGAGAAGCCAGAGAAACCACCAACAGATGTAGAGTGATAAACCGTAATATTTTAACAAAATACATTATTTTCACAGCTGCTTTTTGTGTTGACACAAATCTTTCGTGCGCCTTTCAAAAGTTACTGAACAGGTTACCGCTCGGTAAATTTGTTTTCTCATTCGTACGTGCGTGGGCTAATGGATAATTGTTCGCATTAACTGGTAGATTTGATTTTTAACCAATGGCGGATAAGAACAGGAGTCTACATTTGCGGGTGGTTTTAAATAGAAGATCATAGAAGGTACGAACAACAGTACCCTCAAACATGGTTTTATCGAATTGCTTAATAATCACTGTTTTATTGCATGGCTGGAACCTAATTATTTTCCATTTTGAAGGACCTCTTTCACTTATGTTTCATATTGACCATCGTTATAGGGTTCTGCATTCCTAGTGTCCAGTCTTACGCGTTTTCATTTTTGTATCACAAGAAAACAAACATGGCGACTTGCTCTGCAATTCGCATGGTTTTGCATAGGCAGGTAGGGTTGGTTCGTCGAGGATTATTTGGTGAGCCTTTTTTTTTTTATCATTCACCCTAAATCGATTTTTTGTTTTGAAACTGCTTCCGCCACTGGATTAAATTAAGGTTATGCTAGAGTGTCAACCTAGCGAGGTTCTCGCTGTAGCATCAGCTTTTGTGTATCTGCTTGCATAACAAAGTTAATAAAAAGCGTCCCTATTAATTTCACCGACTTTGTAGCTATATGTAAATTATGATCTCTTGGTTATATTGCACAGGTTTCCCATGCAGATTGCTGCAGATGTCCTCTTATAACTTATCATCAGAGGAGAAACAAAACCCAGCAGACAGTCGGTAGGCGGCAGATTACTGAAAGAAAATCACACAAATCAGTTTACCGCGCCTCTCTGATTGTGCCAAAATGTATTTAATTTCTAAAAAGATAATACTACACATGCAAAGCTTTTACTGAGCTTTGAATCAAACTAAAACAAACAAACAAACCTTGCCAGCCATCAGATAAGTACACGTTTTGCAAAGGCAATTCATAGCGGAATGTGTTTTTTGATTAATATAGAAATGAAGAATTTGACAGTGCAAGGTCTGAGAGTGCAAATAAGAAATACTTTGGTGGTGATGATGGAGCTGCCTTTATTGATGTAGATGAAGATCAAGACACAGATGTACGAGAAACTATTCTCAATGCTGCACTTGAACATGTTGATCAGTTAGGTTGGAGTCCAGAAGCTATAGAAGCTGGAGCAAGAGCTGTGGGGCTGTCTGCAATGGCAGAGGGTATGTTTCCACGAGGTGCTGGGGATTTAGTCCTTCACTTTACCGAGGACTGTAATGTTCGGTTGGCAGATCATCTTGTTTCACAGTCCAGGTCAGCAGGGGAGGAAAAAAGGTCTGGAGTCCCACTGTAAGTACTGATAAACACTATTTTTTAATGTTAAGTTAATTTGATACATCCAGTTCACCAAGGATACCAGTTACAAGTAAATGTATCTTAGTAGTAGATGTTTTGGTTTGTAGTATCATTGAGTATTTTTACCAGTTATGGATATCTTGACGAGCCTGTATGGGCAAGTCTGAATACATGCAAAGAGCAAAAGTACTTAACATCACTACACACAAAAATGCTTAAGAAGTTATTTATTTTCCAACGGCTCTATTTTATGTGCATTTCTTGTAAGGTGGGAAAAGGGAAACAGATTAGGAGAAGTGTAGCATGAGCACTCAACCAATTAAACAGTTTTATTACACCTTTTGCCCTAGTTCAAGAACATAACGTAAATTTTCATTAGGGCCACTTTGAAGTTAAATAACAGGAAAGTGTTATTAACTTGGCAAGAAGGCAATCATTATGACAGTTTAAAATTTCATTTTGGCTGTTTGCATAATACGAAAATTTATTTACACCAATATAATTTCAGTTTAATGTGAAGTACATTCCTTAATGCTATTGTGCAATCAATGTAGACAGTTTTCAGCCACATTCAGAACTTTAGAATTTCAAGTAAGTTTGTATTCCAGCTGCTTAACTTTCTATTGCTTTGTGGTTATACCAAGGCAGGATTTGCATAAACCAAAACCATTGAGCACATTTTTGGACAGTTATTGCATTTAACATGTGTCTAAAACATTGAGGCCTTATGAAAAACAATATACACTAAAAACATTTACCAGATGAGGGTAATTTTTACCTGAATTGACCAATCAGAGTGCTTTGTTTCTTTCAGTTTACCGCCAGGTAAAGTTTACCTTAGTGGGGTAAACTTACTATTAGCAATTTGCTCGTTAGAGCGCTTCTATGGGCTGTATCGACGCAAAATAATTACATTCTTTCAATTGTGCCTT